CCGGCCCCATCCCCCCCCCCCCCGGCCCCCCCACCGCCTCACCGTCTCGGAGGAACGTGTCGGCAAAGTAGAGGCAGCGCACGACACCCGAGAGGGAGTCGTCGGCAGAGCGGGGCTCGATGCGACGCTGCACCGGCGTCACCTCCACGTCATGGGGGCAGGCCTGCTCCGCCAGCTGCGCATTGGCCTCCTGCAACTGAAGGGGGCTCCTGAGCCGTCTTCCCTGTGCCCAGCTGTCCGCAGATGCTGCGTGGCGCCCGACCTTGCACACGCCCCCGGGCTGGCTGCTGAGGAGCCGCGGCGGCCCAGGCCCACTCACCTTACTGCTGGCACTGGGAGCGCGCTTCTTGCCCGACACGCGGCTCTTGCGGATGCGCCGGAAAGACTGGCGCAGAGACTTCTTGAGCGACTTCACCCGGGACAGCGGCCCCTCCATGGCCAAGGAGTCGTTGGGGTGAAGGGTGCACCTAGGGTAGGCAGGGGCCGGTCGTACTGGGACAGCCCCCAGGAGGAGCCCCCACGCTCCTGATGGCTCAAAGGACTTGGGTCAGGAAGCCACAGCCCCCCCGCGTGTCCCACGCGGTCACCGGTGCCTCGCACAGGGTGACGAGTCATGGGGCGTTTCAAGTCGCCCACCTCCGTCCGCCAGACTCCAGAAGGGGCCCAGCCTGCCCCACCTCCAGGCTGCAGCCACCACCCACACACCTGGCCAGCACGGGGCTCTTGCGCTGGTAATCGAAGAGGCCAAAGCCGTGACTGGTGCCAAAGGCCACGAGGCTCCACTCGGCATGGAGCGTGACGGCGGTGACGGCGGCTGGCGGCAGGCACTGCACCAACACGCGGGGCTGGAAGCCGGCAGGCCAGGGCAGCGGCCCCGTGCGTGGGCTCAGCCGCTCGTGGCCCTTCCACGTGAATCCCTCACGGTCCTGGAGGAGGTCCACGCTGGCCACGCTGACCGCCTGCTCGGCCGGCACGTCGCTGAGCTCCAGCACCAGCACCTGAGTGGCAGCCAGGGCAGGGGAGGGTCAGCGTGCGGAGAGACCCACTGCAGCCCACAGGCTCTGGAACCCACGCCAGGCCACGGCTGGGGCCAGGACCGTCTTCAGCTCACCCACCGAGTAAGCACGCACAGAATGCCTACTGTGCGCCAGGTTCCTCGTTGAGCACCGGGCAGCACAGTGGGACCAAGACCTGTCTTGCCCTCCTAGAGCCAAGCGCTCACCCATCCCTGAGCCTGGCTTCCGTCGGCCACCAGCACAGAGCGGGCACCTCTGGCGTGCTGCCGAGTGCCAGGGGGTGCGAGGACATCTGGGCCCTGCCACCCAGAGCTCACCTGCTGCCGGTGCTCCTGCCCCTGCCCCAGGTAACGGCCCCCACCTACAGCCGGACTCCAGGCCCCACTTCCCATCTGTGCACACCGCAGCCAGTCCCACCTGCAGCCCCACTTGCACCTCTGGGCCACTGCCTGTGCCAGTCTCATTCTAGTTTGGGCCCGCCTCCTCCAGAAAGCCCTCCCTGGCATGCCCGACCCAGGGCACGGCCCTGCCTACCCGGCCTGCAGTGCCGGCCACCACCATCTGAGCGGTGTACTTGCAAAGTGAGACCTTCTGCACGCCGAGCCGGGGGTCGTCGCTGTAGGGGTCAAAGCAGCCCACCTGCAGGGCAGGAAGGAGTGAAGACACCTGGAAGGGTGAGCCAGCTCCCGGGGGCCAGGGCAGGGGCCCACCTTGCGGAAGGGCGGCCAGTCGTCCTCAGCAGCCTGGGCCAGGCTGTCCGCGTGCTCGCAGTCTGTCTGGAAGAGCCCAGCCGTGCTCAGTTTGTAGAGCGGCCGCAGCGCCACCCCTGAGGCGTCCCAGAACCGCACGGTGCCGTCCTCATGGCTGCGGGGAAGCAGGCGTCAGGACTGCCCAGGAGGCCTGCACCTCCACCCGCTCACCTCGCTACCACGCACGAGCACCTACTGCACACGGACGCTGACTGAACCCTGCCCACTGGACGGCGCCCGCCGTGCCAGACCTCCCAGGTCAGGAGGGTGCGGAACAGCTGCCCCATGAGCAGGAGCGGAGGGCGAGTGTGGAGAACAAAGGAGGGGCTGGCCCCGCTGGCCACCCAGCACAGGCAGCAGGGAGCCAGGCAGGAGTGCAGCAGGACAGGCCAGAGCCAGCCACAGGTGGTTGCAGGCAGAGCGGCAGGAAGACAAGATAGCTGAGGGGAAGCAGGGAGGGCGATGGGGAGGGCGATGGGGAGGGCAGCCTCAGGACACAGCTGCAGAGCTGAGTGGGGGCCCTGGGATGGCCTGGGATGCTCACGGAGTCCCGGGCCAGGCCCTGTGGAAGTGCGTGTGTCTATGGGGCCAATCGGGACTCACTCGGCAGCCCTGAAAGCTACAGCTCGTTCTTAAGGAGGGGAGGACACCTAAGTCAGAGGCCTGAGGGTCCCAGCACACACGGGAGGCAGGGGCAGGGGCAGGGGTAGGGCAGGAAGTTGGGCCTGAGTCACCAGACACGTCAGCGCCCGCCAGGCCCAGGCTGGCCTCCCCAGCACCTGCCCTGGGCAGCTCAGCGTGGGCCAGCCCAGATTTTCCGGTCCCAGGGCAGGCGGGCCAGGTGGGTGGAGCCCTGGGGCTTGCTGGAACTCAGTTCCAGGCCACACAGCAGAGCAGGGCAGGGCCGAGAGGCTTCGTCTCAACCCCCCTGGGGGAGCAGGGTGACTGGGGTCTGCAGGGGTCAGCCACAAGTTATCAACCAGACCCAGGACAGGTTCCCTTAGCAACAAGGAGCACACCAGGCCTGCAGGGACGGGGTCTCCGCCACAGCACACATGCACGGGCACATGCACACGCGCGCACACAGCCGTGTGCCCTACCCGGTCAGCAGCAGCCCCCGCTGTGATGGCTCCTGAGCCAGGTTGCGGCCCCCGGTGATGGGCCAGCTCTAGGAAAGGGCCAGAGATGGGCATGAAGTCTGGGTGGTGGTGTCTCCACATCCCTCCGGCTTGGCAGCTGAGGCAGGGGTTCCCCACCTGTGCCTACCACATCCCGCCTCCGCCCGAGACCCCTCCCCGCGGACTGCCGGCACACACCGCAGCACTGGAGGTAGGCTGGGGGCTCTGCTGCTCGCCGGCGCTGATGATGCGGGCCCACAGCTTAGCGGGGACGTTGGCCACGTGGGCTGAGCACGTGATGGCGGACGAGTGCAGCGGGGCCAGGTAGGGCGCGGGCACGGCTGGCCACCCGGGGGTCTGCAGGTCCAGCACTACCAGCTCCTCTTCCAGCAGCACGGCCAGGGCCTGGGGGTCGTCAAACTCTGCAGGACAGGGCAGGTGAGCGCAGCCGCAGCGGCACTGGGCACGCGGGCGGGACGGGGGCTGGCAGATGGGCACACACCGTCCTCGGGCCGCGTGCTGTGCACCGTAAAGAAGTCGATGATGCGGGAGGTGAAGTCCAGCGTCACCAGGGTCTCGGCCCGCAGCACGCTCACACAGTGACGATCACCATAGCTGGCCCGGGGCATCCCCCCACTGAAGATGATGAAGTGGCCCCTGCAGGGGGGAGAGGGTGAGCCGGGCGCCACCTGGGCACAGACCGCCACCTGCCCCACGCAGGGAGGGCTTACTGTCACCCTGAACCTGCCCTCCGGCCCCAGGTGGGGCTGTCCCCGACCTACCCAGATTCACAGCTCCGCCACAGAATCTTGTTGACGGCCTTGCAGGGAAAGGGGCCTAGGGGCGGGACAGCGTCAGAGTGCACACGCGGGGAGC